GGGTGATATCACACCTTTTGTAGTGTTAAATTGTCCCTACCCGTCTATTTAAACCAAAGATATAGATATCTAGACCGAGAACTGAACAGTGGGGGTAGAGGTTCACGTAGAATGTCGTTCTCTCTTGTTCGCATGTAAACAAGAGATTGCCCTTTTTTACGTGAACCTCTATCCCCACTACTCAAATAAAGGCAACCGCTCGGTCTATATATGTATAACTCGGCGGTAAACCGAGCTTTCGGAAGTCGTCGGTAATAACATCGGTAATGTTACGCGTCGGTAACGTCAGTCGGTAATGTCAGTCACGTCAGCAGCGCCAATGCCACGTTGCGGCAGAAAAGTGAAAAGGATCCACTGGCCTGTCGATCAAGACGACCAAGATGACCAAGACGACCAAGACGACGACAAAGACGGTTCTTAATACGTAATTCCCAACATGCGGACTTCGCATTGCAATATCTCCACTCATGGGGCACGTAGGAGAAAAGTAAAAACACTTTTATTATGCGAATCGTACCCAAGCTATCGATTAAGCGCACTCTCAAGTTCGTCGGATCAGCCGTTGTTGAGATCCGAAAATCTGAGGGCCCGTCAACTCGTGTACTCGCGTAAACTTACACGGTCGGTGTCGCGCGCGTGGTTAGGTTTGTCGCTTATACTTAGTCGCTTATACTTGGCGCGAGACACTACCGTGTCTCGTAATAATTGGACATAACTTATTCTAAATGCGGACTATATTTAAGAATTATTTATTTAATTATTATTATTTATGTATTATTAAGAGTGTATATCATTATATTATGTAATCAATTAATCTAAATTATACTTTAAACATTAAGAAGCGCTGATGAAAGCACAGTGTGCCGAAACGCGTCCGCGAAATCGAGTCAATGTAACACATACTCCTTATTAAAATAATTTTATAATTTCCAACCGAAGAAGCTTGTTAAATTTGGTCTGAACTTATTGTCAGTATTTTGTAATAAAACACAAGCGCTATACATTATATTTATTATGAAATTTATCCTATTAATAATAATATTCTGCATGAATAAAGTAAAAATATTGTTCCGAATTGTTCATTATTTTTCTTTCCCCCCGATGTCTCCATGCATGTATATGATTTGTAAAATTATGCATTATTTAATCAACTTTGTATGCATATAACTTTTTAATGAACTACGAGCGACGGCTAAAACCTCTTCAAGGTCACTCAGGAGGGCGACCTTGACAACATATGTCAAGGTCAAGGTCATCGGGGCTGGCTCCCTTCATCGATATATCCCATAAAACATTTTGATATACAATGTATATACAATGTATGTACATCTATGTATCATGTATATACATTGTATACGAATTTTTGGTACACAGTACATACATTGGATATCACATGTATGCGCAAATGTTACCGGAATGATGTTTATAGGATGTCCTGGGTATGTACGTATGCACATGATTTACACATTTTATGTATATACATGACGTATATTGATTTTTATCCATTACATGTACATGTAGTATGTACATAAGATATACATGTACATACATAATATGTACATACATATGCATATAATATACGTAATATGTATGTACATGCATGTACGTAGTCTGTACATACAACATGGACATAATATGTATGTACATGCATGTATATAATTTGTACATACGTCAGGTACATAATATACAGGGTGAGTCTTTCCATATCCGACAAAATTTTTGAGAAGGTAGAACGGATCGAGATGAATGGAAAAGTCCTGTACCATTTTGCAATTTTCGTAATAGTTAACGAGTAATTAATTATTAAAAATCGTTGTCTTAGGCCGGCCTACCGCCCAATTCGAGCGCGTGGCGAGATGTGCGTATAGCAATATCGATCGCCAGGCGGTCACATCTTGCCACGCGCTCGAATTGGGCGGTAGGCCGGCCTAAGACAACAATT